ACATTCCCACTAGAAAGGACAAGCAGACTGGAACAGCTACAGTGACAGAAGATACATCTTCATGATGAACCTGACCTATACTCAGAGCAGTAGTTGCTCTAAATACCAACAGAGAGCGAAAGTCTTCACATCAAGTTATCAATGCTATCCACTCTGAGCACAGGGTAGATAGGGACAGACAACTTAGACATTGGCTACCTAAAATGAGGGGGCAATAAAGGCACGAAGTGACTGGCTTACAAGGTTTCAAGAGGGAGTTTAGCTTAAGAGTATGGGGGGAAAGAAACAGTCCCCACTGAAAAGCTGTCATCTTGTCTAGATGGGTCTGGTGAAAAGAGATGGGGAGAAGATTCATAAGATTCAATGGTGAATAATTGTTATCATGACTAATCACGACTGTCACAATTATAAAGGTAGAAGTTTTGTAACAAAAAAAGGGGGTTTGTTAATCTTACAGTCCAGAAATAGCAGACCCTAGGACCATCAAGAGAGGAACGCACAAGCAGAATGTGGGGCCTTATCCAGAGAAGCAGCAGCGCTAGAGATGGAGGCAGAGATGGCATGGAGATGGGGAGCAGCTGAGGACTCTAGATTTATCGACTAAGAAGAGAGGGACTAAGAACTTGCAGACTTGCAGAATGTGCCCTTTGGAGATGTAAATTTTTATATATTCCTGAGTGGGTTGTTTTGTTTTGTTTTGTTTTTTAAAAGAAGCTAAAGTGGATAGAGAGAACTACTGTTAACTGATGGTACATGCAGGGGATTATAATCAATGTAATATAAACAAGGCATATGATTTGTTGAATGTAAAACTGATGATATGCCCTGTAAACTTTCACTCAATCCACAATAAAAATCTTAAATTAAAAAATATAAAAAAAGATCACCTATGAGACAAAATGATCAATAATTACTTTTTTTTAAAAGATGAGAATGTAAGGAAACTAGATTAATGGAAATGGAACAACTAGAACAAAAATAAGAGTGTTCATGAAATGTGAAAAATGTAATCAACGTCACAGAACAATTTCTGTAGAAACTGTTGACTATGAACCTAAACTGTTGTGTAAACCTTCACCCAAAACACCATAAAATATTAAAAAAATTAAAAGTGTATCTGTAATTTTAAAAAAAAGAAAAAGCATGCATGAGCAGTCATGTAACGTGCAGGTATTGGTGTCTTCTTATTTGGAGCAAAGAACACTGAAGAAAATAGAAAATGCTTGGAAGCCATTAGTTATGACCCTGAGACCAGAAGAACTAGATGATGCTAGGCTGCCATTACCAACTGCTCTGAAAGGGATTACATTTGAGGGTCCTGGACAGAGTGGGGCAAAACTCAAAATCATAAAACAGACCAGGCTTACTGGTTGGCTAGAGACTGGTGAAATCCTTAAAGACTCTGGCCCCCTTAGTCAGTCACACTTCCAGCCTGGAACTGAACTCACACACCGCTTGCTTCTCATGGCTCAATTTTCAGTCAAGCAGTAGACAGGCCTATAAGGGAACCCTAAATCTAGAAAAGGATGTACTCCTTAGACTAATCAACCGTTTGAGATCAAAAGGGCAGCATTTGCCCAAGGCCAAAGCTCTGAAGGCAGAAAGGGTTAAAAAGAGAGAAAGAACGGAAATGAGAAACACAGGGAGGAAGCAGGGAAAATTATGTTATATGTCGTTGTTGTTAAGTGCCACTAAGTCACTTCCAAGTCATAGTTGAGTGCTTATCTTATAGCACACCAGGACTCCATGTTATATTGTTGTTAAGTGCCATTGAGTCGGTTCTGAGTCATAGCGACCCTGTATAGGGTCTCCAGGGAGCAGCTGGTGAGTTTGAACCACTGACCTCATGGTTCAGAGATTAAAAGCAATAATGAGAGAAAGCAAAATGTATATGAATTGTTGAATGGAAAAGTGATTGCTCTGTAAACCTTCACACAATTCACAAGTTAAAAAAAGAAAAAGAAAAGAAAAGAAAAGTCTGGTTCTTTCACATTCTTAAAAGAATGTGGATTACTATGTTTTCTGTAGAAACTTGTGTTGGTTATAGAGATGAGCAAATTAAACTGCTTGGTGGTGGACATCTGGCCCAATTATCAGTCATACCAGGCATGGTTTTGGTGTTATAACTAACTTCTGTTGGAGGTATACATTCCCTACAGAACATGCCTATTCATAGCATCCAGGCCATCTGGGTATCTAATGCTCTGCTGCACGCACATAAGTAGGGCCATATTCCCTCCCTGGGTGGCAAAGCCCACAAGGCACCACAAAGCCTCTTCCCCCAAACTAGCGATCGACTGAATTAAGGAAGGAATGAATGAGGCCTAAGGCTGGGGTGTAAGCTCTTCATATGACAGCAGGTAGACTTGAGAAATCATGACAGCAGAAGAATGGTTTCACACAAAGCTAGGAACATGAGGACCGAGCAGTAGAAACAGTGGAGCATCAGGCCTGGGATGCACTTTCAGGTTCCATGAAGACACGTAGGAATTGAAAGCAGTCTATAGATTTGGATAAGTCAGAGGTGGATGAGAAAAAGGCTGCAACAGACACGCTAAAAGAGACCGAGATGTTCAGAGACATGTAGAGCTAGAGATGCAAGAAAAAATAGACTTGCCAAAGAGACCAACACAGAAGGCAGCACACTGAATATGGGAGGTACAAGAGTGTGCAGACCACCCCAACCCCAATCAACTTTGCATGGCGGGGTTAGAGGTTGAGTGCAGTCAGCGAAATTCTCTGGAAACATTTCACTTACAGAAAAGCTGCTTCCGGACACACAGAACCACAGGAGGAAAGAGTTTGAAAGGTCTTTGGAACACCTCCTTCTGAACTTGTTAACACTAACGAAAATTGGTGGGCAACTCAGAAAGAGGAAGTGACTTATTCAGGTCACAGGGCAAGCTGGGCTAGAATCCCAGTTTCAGCCTGGTATTTCTTTCCTACATTGTTAGCTCAAATCAGAGTCCCTTAAACTCAGGGGAAAATCTTCCACTGCCATCAAAGGACACCAAGCAGGCTCTTTGTTTGACTGGGACATTTTCTGTTCTCAGAGAACAAAACATTCAGGGATTTACAGTGCAGATAAAACAATGGAAATGACTTCAAGAGGAAAGAACAGGGAACCACTGCATTTCAAAAATGTCAGAATAAAATTTTTTTTTTTACCTCATCGTAGAACTCTGGATTTTGGTTGTGATGCGAGACAACAGCATACGCATTTGTGGTAAAAACTGATCCTGCAGGTTTTCCATAAATACACTGCAAATGAAGGAGAGAGAGAGAGAGAGAGAGAGAGAGAGAGAGAGAGAGAGATGCTGTTCTCAATGCATGTCTCTTAAACATAACAATATGGAGCCACACGCAGACACAGGCATCTGTGAGAGCAAGGCCACAGCCAAGCCCAACTGGTTCTCACCAGGAGCCTGTAAATTCCGAGTCATTTACAGTCACTCCAGATGCCACTCTATATAATGTGAAATGTTGACAGTGTGGAAAGGTTTTTGAATTGAAGAAATGCAAGGCGGAAGAAATGTAATTCCAAATTAGTTGATGGGAAAAAGCTGACTATTTCTAATCATTTGAAAGGTAAACATTATCAACATGTCAAAACCAGACATGTAAAGTTTACTTTCTTTTATGCTATTTGCATTTCTTAATATGAGAGGGACCCCTTGCACTCCCCCTGCTCCCCAGGGATCCATAATTCCCACCCACCCCCAACCCACCAGCCAGTTAGCAGCATTTGCTGAATGTTCACTGTAATAGTTAAGGTTTTGTGTCAACTTGACTGAGCCAGGATTCCCAGTGGTTTGGTAATAATCCCCCATGGTGAGATCTGATCTAATGTAATCAACTCCATAATGAGATCTGCTGTGAGCAGCCAATCAAGTGAAAGGAAGTTTCCTCAGTAGTGTGGCCTGCTACCAGAATATTGGGCACTTGAGCAAAACTTCTTTGTTTTCAGCAGGGCCTGGATCCAGCATGTGACTCATCATCCAGCCTCCAGTTCTTTGGAGTTGAGCCAGTGGCCTGCTCAATTGTCTGCTGATCCTGGGAGTCGTCAGCAAGTACCTGTCCTACTTGCTGATCTTGGTTCCTCAAACTAACGGACTTGGGACTTGCCTACCGAGACAACTGTGTGAATCATTTCCTTGCTATTAACTCTCTTTATATATATATATAACAAATACAAGCTTCACTGGTTTTGCTTTTCTAGAGAACCCAGGCTAAGATACTCACTAAGCAGTAAGATAAGCTAAAAAGCAACAATACAACAGCTAGAAAACAATCTTTAAACTCCTTCCAACATCCTAGGTTACAAAGCAGAACTGTTCCACAGGGTTTTTTTTGGCTCTCATCTTTCCTTGACAACTAACCTAAACGTTGGTAGTTTGCATCCACCCAGAAACCACACTGAAGGAAAGCCTGTGAAGATGACAGCCAAGAAAACCCTAAGGAGCATCTCTACTCAGTAATATATGGGGTGGCTTTGAGTGAGAATCGACCCAAAGACAACAAGGTTCTAAATATTTAGGGAAGCCGATCGCCAGACCTTTCTTCAGTGACACCACTCACGTGGGCTCCAACCTTCAACCTTTAGGTTAGTAGCTGACAGAAAACCATTTGTACAACTCAGGGGTCTTGGACACATTCCTAGCCTAGGGTTTGTTTTTTTTTTAATTAAAAATCGAATGTTTAATTTGGCTTTGTTCTCTTACTCCACATTAAGTAAAAAGTAAAAAAAAACAAAATAAACCAAAAAACTATCGCTGGCTTTCTGTTATAGCGGCATAATCACTGTAATGCTTTCAGCGGTCCCATGGAACGATTTGATTTCACTTCTAGGGTGAGCCTTTCACTTGTAGAAGCCTAGTAAGCTCAAGGATGAATATGGTGTCAGCATGCCAAGGTACTAATTGCCTCACTCTGTTACTTCGGAGTAAGCCTCTTGGCCGGCTGGGAAAGGAAATTGAGACTGCACATGAGTGCATATCCAAGTCTTCTGAAATATGGTTCTAGAGGTAATGTGCAGGAATTGCTGAGCGGTAACCTGAGAATCTTCAAGTACACAAAAGGATACTGCATGGAGGAAAAGAACCGGTTGTTCTCAACTCCACCGAAGGACAAACCAGAGAAAAGGCCCCAAATTTGAGCCAGCTAATCCTTAATATAATATAGGTTTCTCTGTGGGAAAAAAATCGCCGTTCCAAGGTAAGGGCTAGTAAGCATTGCATGACATTGTGAGGGGCATTGCAGCCTCTTTCTCTAGGTGGTGTGAGACTCAGACTAGCCATCCCTTGGTCTGAGATTCAGGCTCAGGTGAGAGAAGGGGCAGCCAAAGAAATACTTCGTGATGGCTAGGAGGTCTCTGCCTTTTCTTTCAGGCCACTGACTAAAGAGTTCAAAAGCAAAAGCTAAAACAAAACAAAATGAAATGAAATTAAAAAAATCCACAAAAACAACAACAACAATAAAGAGTGAAAATGGAAAGACCCTGTGAAGTGACAAGTATTTAAGGATGGCTGTCTCACATGATTCTGAGATTATGCTTTTTGTGGACCACAAATCAAAATCAGGAGGCACCATTAGCTCTAGAGTAGAAGTTGTATTTCAGATCAAAGCAGTCCTGTGCTTCTGTCAGCTCAAAGCCTGTTCAGGTTTCCAGACCACAGGAGTTAAGAGTTCCTTGATGGTACCATTATAAACTATCAGGTCATAAGAGAAAATGACTTTGTCATTGGGTATCAGAGCAATGCCACATCAAAGCAGAGCAAAAGCAAACTTCTGATACATGAAGCCTATTCATTTTTCAACTTCTATCTGTTCCCGTCCCCTTTTTTTTGTTTATTGTTTAACTTAATTCTATATTAGAGTTCACTTGTAAGAGGAAACAGAAAATATTACATTTGTCACTTAATACAAACGCCACTGCTGTGGAGTCAATTGGGACTCATAGTGACCCTATAGGACAGGGTAGAACTGTCCCAGAGGGTTTCCAAGACTGGAGATCTTCACGGGAGCTGACTGTCACATCCTTCTCCTGCAGAGTGGCTGGTGAGTTCTTATCATCAACCTTTTGGTTGGCAGCTTAGTGCTTAACCACTGTGCCACCAAGGCTCCTCTATTTGTAATTTTAGTATGCTATATTCTCCATGTTTAAACAAAGTAAATCATATAATGTAATCCTTGTGTGGCATTTGAGGAGGAGATGCACTGGGCTGGTAACGGCAAGGTCAATGGTTCAAACCTACCAGTTGCTCTTTGGAAACTCTATATAGCTTTGCTACGCATTGGAACCAGTTAGAAGGTACTTGACAACAACAGGAGACTCAAGCTGGAACCTCAAGCTCACCAAAAGCTCAACCTGGATTAAGAATAGTGGCTTATGAACACCATAAACAAACCTTCAACGCAGTAGCATCAGTTTCATCTGAGTCCCGGAATTCCACGCAGACGGCAATGTTCCTTGCCTAAAACAATGAATCGTTCAGAATGAGTCACCCAATTAGAAGATTGTGAAAGCCATTTTACACCCCTCCCCCCCAAGTGTATAGTTCACAAATACTATTTACCTTGGCAAAGGTTTTCTGGCTATCGTATTTTAACTGCAAGGGATATACATACAGATGGTTTTTGTAAACAGTAAATGGATAACAATATTTTGTCATTTCCGGAACAAACTCTTCAACTTCCACAGTAATATTTTGACAATTCTTTTCAAAAGGCTTCAGGGGCACATATGAAGAAGTAATACAATCTACAGTAAGAAAAACAACAAGAGAAGCCAAGTGAGCAATCATGAAGGGATTCCTGGTTTTCTCACAATGTACTACGTAAATTTAACATAGATTAGGCTCTCAGAGTGACATTTAAAAAGCGGAATTCTTTGTGACAGTCACTTGAGGGATCAAAAAGGACAAGAGAAGAAGTAGCTTGATAGAGTTTTTAGTGGTACCCTTCAAACCACACAGAAAGCGATTTCATTCTCCATGTTGATTTGGCAAATATAACACATCATCATTTTGACAGATTTAAGCTCTGCAAAGAAATCCATTACGTTTTTCCTCCTGTGGCTGCAATTTAGCATTCACTGCAAATTTTTATTGGTAGCAAGGAAGTACCAGTAAATTTATTATTCCAATTAGTTCGTGGTGGGTTGCCTTTAAAAAAAGTTAACTGGGTGCAGGTGCAAGTTTTCACCAGCGAAATAATGGAAGCCTTTTTAAATGACAGATCTTAGATGTGCTACCAAAAATAAACTCGATATTCCATAAGGGGAAAAACACAAAGCCCCAGAAAAGCTTCACAGCTTGTGTTATTGAAGTAGCCACTGTGATCAAAGTTATTCGTATACTAAGCGGGCTCTGAGGCTGCTTTGTCCTCGCTGAATAGGGACCGCTTCAGAAGGAAGACCCAGCGGGAGTGGCACTCGAGCACCCAAGTAGGGCTTGCTTTTCTCTGACCATAGAGACACATACTTCAATAGAAACTCTAGAGGTATAAAGGCGTGCAGAAATAATTGATCATCTGCTATCCAGAGAGAATTACTGCTAACATTTAGGCACATTTTCTTCTACAATTTCCCCATTTTGATTAAGATTCTTCTATGGAAACTTCGATCAATTTTTTTCAGTAATGGTAGCAGGGCACCAACCAGTTCTGGTGTCATGGCAGAGGAGGCAGTTGCTAATGGAGGCAATGAGCCACACATTCCACATCCTCCTACTATTGCCGACTCCCCTTCTTCTGTTGCTCCAGGTGAGTAGAGACCAATTGTGCTTTAAATGGCTACCTGCAAACTTTTAAGACCCTAGGTAATACTCAGTGAACTAGGAGGTAGAACAGATGCACTAAACACATTATTAGGCCAATTAACTGGGATGTCCCATGAAACCATGACCCAAACCTCCAACCAAGGAACCAATGAGGTATGTGGTTGTACATAAAGCAGCTAACCGCGCCACCCCCATTTTTTGTCTTTATTGTAAATACATCTTTGACACACCTTTGCCTATTCAACTTTTTACTAGTGTACAACTTATTGGCAGCAATCAACTGTCTTCTAGTCTTCTTTCTGCTCATTTCACATTAATAATACAAAAGAAATCTTACTAGATATAGAAGGAATCCAAGTATGACGTTGTAGGATCAGCACTGGATTGCAAACCACAAGGTTGGCAGTTCAAACCCACTAACTGCTCCTTGGAAATCTTATACAGGGTCACTCGACTCAACAGAACTTAAAAACAACAGCTGGATATAGACCTTTATCTTGATTCTTTTGTCATTTTTATCTTCTTATTCTATGAACTCTGTAAACATCAGTCCTAATGGCCGTAGAAAGTTTCATGCTACCTGGGTATCATAAGTGTCTTGGAGTCCCTGGGTGATCAAACAGTGGTTCAATTCTGCACAGAGGAGCCTTGGAAGAAAGGCCTGGCAATCTGCTTTCCAAAACTCAGCCATGAAAAACCCTATGGAGCACAGTTCTACTCTGACACACACAGGGTTATCATAAATCAGAATGGACTCAATAGCAATTGTTGTTGTTGTTAAGTGCTGTCGAGTCAATCCCGACCCATAGCGACCCTGTATAGGGATCAGCTGGTGAGCTTGAATCACTGACCTTGCAGTTCAAAAGACTTTGCAGTCTGACACATTAGCCCACAGTGCCACACCAGGACAATAGCAACTGGTACTGGATAATTGGCTTAACAACACTGATGACGTTAGACTGGTTGTTTTCAAGTTTTCTCCAGTCTAAATAATGGTTTTTTTTTTGTAATTCACTCAGCAAATATATTGATTGCTACTGCAAAATAGAGTCCTGGTGTGGCACTGTGAGTCAATATGCTGGACTGCAAAATCAGCTTGAAGCACAAGGTTGGTGGTTCAAGCTCACCAGCTGCTCCCTGGAAACCCCATACAGGGTCTTTATGGGTCAGAACTGACTCTACGGGACCCAACAACAAACAACAACTGAAAAATAGTAAGCACTCAATATATTTTCTGAATGAATAAAATAACATATTTAGATTATATATTGTCGTTGTTTCTATTAAGCGCCATCAAGTCCGTTCTCACTTACAGCCAGGGTTTCTGAGGAATGGCTGGTGGTCTTGAACCCAAGACCTTACTGTTAGCAGTGCTGTTTTTTGTCTTACAGCACCACAACAGGACATATAATAAATACAGACATGTTTGCTTGGATTTTTTTTTTTATTTCCAGGAGTCTTGATGTGGTACTGTAGAATAAGCACTGGACTGCTAACCACAAGGTTAGTGATTCAATGTCACCAGCCTCTTCTTGGAAACCATATTGTTGTTGTTGTTAAGTGCCGTCGAGTCGGTTCCGACCCATAGCGACCCTGTACAGGGTTTCCGAGGGTGTAAATCTTTACGGGAGTAGAAAGCCTCATCTTTCTCCCGCGGAGCGGCTGGTAGTTTCGAACCGCTGACCTTAAGGTTCACAGCCCAATTCGTAACCACTACGCTACCAGAGCTCCTTGGAAACCATATATAGGGTTCCTAAGTAAATAATGCTTTAAAGAACATCTTTATGCATAAATTACTGTCTACATTTCGATTTTTTTTTTTTTAGGGAAAAAGAATTCATTCCATTGTTAGAGGTGTAAATTTGATGTACTTCACCTGCGTATAATCCTTTAGTGACTTGTCATTGCATTTAGAGTAGAGCCCAGTCTTTTAAGAAGTTACACAAGACTCTGACTGGCTTGATCCTTCCTACTTTTTTCCTACTTCACCTCCTCCCTCCATTGTTCCCAGCACTGCCTTCCTTTTCATTCAAACCAACCAAACTTATTTCTACCCTCAAGGTCTTTACATTTGTGATGTCCTTGGCCTGGAATGTACAATCCCAACCACCCTATGCTAGCCAACTTCTCATTCTTTACACGCTGAGCTTAAGACAGGCCTTCCTGGGATACCCTTTTTAAACCAGCATGCGCCTATCACAAGTTAAATGTATTCATTCCTTATCTTTCTTGTTTATTATCTGCCACTCTTTCTCAACTTTAAATTAGTAGCTACTAGCTCTGGTAGCGTAGTGGTTACGAATCGGGCTGCGAACCTTAAGGTCAGCGGTTTGAAACTACCAGCCGCTCCGCGGGAGAAAGATGAGGCTTTCTACTCCCGTAAAGATTTACACCCTCGGAAACCCTGTACAGGGTCGCTATGGGTCGGAACCGACTCGACGGCACTTTACAACAACAACAACAAGTAGGATACTCAATGCTTTCTCAATAAATATTTACTAAGTTAATGAATGAATGGATAGAGAGAATCCCAGAGTTGGAATGCCTTAGTTATGGACATCAATGGAAATCTATTGCCAAACTGTACTCCTACTCCCAAAGTGTGATGGTCCGCTGCCAAATCGCAGCCAGCATTAGACAGAGTCACTGTAAATGTTTTCGTTAAGTATGACAGATGTGCAAAAGTATGTAATTGTTTTAATTTGCAATACTGGGATTACTTAAAAGATTACACTTTTGGTTTCAAATATTTTCTAATCATTTAATTTTATCTCTTGCAAATCGTCTGATTGTCTTCTGTCCACCTTTCTCCTGAGATCTTAAGATTCTTGTCCTTCAGAATTTTCCTCTTCTTTGCTCCCTCAGTTGATGAGAGAAGTAGAAACTTAACCAAGACAAAAGGCAGCAGAAACTGATACATACTCACATCACCATCTATTACATATGAAGTGGCATTGACAAAACTAACTTAATCGAGTCACTTACTACTCCATAACTATTCACTAGGTGAATGTCAATCAGAATACTGAAAAGCTAAAATCCTGAGATTCAAACATAGCACTTAAGGTTCGTTTGCAATATGCAAGTCCTTACTTGATAAATCCACAGGAACACATTCTACTGTGATGTTCAGCTGTCCAGGAATGATCTGTAATTTGGTTTTTTCTGGCCTAGGTATAAAATAAGAATATTGTAATTTAAAACTTATGACTACTAAACACATTGCTTAGCCTAGGTCCAAGCTTAAAATTTTAAGCACTTTGTTTCTCCGATGTATGACTGACTTTCATCGTTGTCAGAAACTTACAAATCGCTTATTATATTCATCTATTGGCAAATCTCCATATACTCACTTCTTATATTCTGAGAGCAACTTGAGGATATCTTCATTAGACAGCTTGCTACTGTCTTGTTTATACAAAGGAGAAAATCTGCCTTCCAGATCCAGAGAGCCTTGGGTATCTTTGAAAATGGGTCTACAACAGCAACAGAGATATATACTTTTTTAATTCTAAATTATTGATAAATTCAAAAGAAGTGAATTTTGATGGGAGTAGAAAATATACCTACCCTATAACTCAGAAATTCCACTCCTACGTCTTTACCCAATAGAAATTAATATATATGTCCACACAAAAACTTCTACATTAAGATTCACATCAGGTTTATTTGCTATAGCCCCAAACTGGTAATAACATGCATGTCCATCAATAAAGGAATGGATAAACCAATTGTGGCATGTTCACGATGGGGTATCACTCCAAATGAACTATTAGTACATACGATGGGGGTGGGGGCATAGAAAGTTCATGGAAAAATTCCATTTTCCAAAAAGTTTTTGAAGCCCCGTCATACAATCATATGGCTGACTCTCAAGCACATGTATACATTGTGTGAGTCTATTTACATGAAATTTTCTAAACTAGAGAAAAATCATCCAGACTATTAAACAGATCAGTGGTTGCCTGGGGGCAGGACTGGGATGACTTACTAGAGGAAACGTTCAGGGGTAATAAAAATCTCCCAAATCTTGGTTGGAGTGGTAGTTATGCAAAACTACATACATTTGTGAAATTAATCCATCCAATTAAACAGTTCAAACATGTGTGTCTTATCAAATATAAAATATATTTCAAAGTTGATTCAATTAAATTAACTATTTAAGGAAATTATATATTGAGAGTTTCCAGTATGAATTTCAATGGTTCCCTCGCACTCTCCCAAATTTAAAGTTGCTAAAATGGAGAGTAATGTACCCAGCACACTGAAAAGGATGATGGCCGGAAACACTTTCCCCTTACAGAGCCTCTAAAGATGTGCTTATAGTTATTAACCATTCTTACTAGCATATCTCTAAGCATACCTCCCTTTTATTTTCATTATCACCCATCATTTAAATATTGCAGCCAAGCCTTCAGAGTAGGTTCCTGCTATTACTAACAACACACAAAACGAAGACAGCAATATTCATCATCAGAACTGGGGATCAAAGCTTCTACTTTGAAGACTTAAAAATGAATTGCTCTTCTGCCAAAACATGATCAGGCAGCTACTGATATGGCCAGAATGGGAACTTTATGACAAGGGTCCTGAAATCATGTGGCATGAGTTTTGACTCCTGCTGTGGAGTCGGTTCTGACTCATAGCCAGCCTGTATATATAAGGTTTCTGAGGAGTGGCTGGTGGGTTTGAACTGTAAACCCTGGAATTAGCAGTCTAGTGTTTATCTTATAATGCCACACCAGGACTCCACCATGTGACTACTGTTGTTGTTGTTGTTAAATGTCATTGAGTCAGTTCCAACCCACAGTGACCCTGTGTAGGTTTTCCGAGGAGCGGCTGGTAAGCTTGAACCACCAACCTTGTGGTTCAAACAACTTTGCAGCCCAGTGCAGTAACCCACAGCACCATACCAGGCCCCCTCCATGTGACTATGTTGTTGTTGTTAAGTGCCATCGAGTCAGTTCTGACCCATAGCAACTGAAGAGCGACTGGTGAGCTTGAACCACCAACCTTGCAGTTCAAACGGCTTTGCAGTCTGGTGTATTAACTACAGCGCCACACCAGGACTCCCCATGTGACTATAGGCTAGGATAATTGTAACTGGTGTGCCTGGTTTCCTCATTTCAAGATGGGATAGCAGTCTCTGAGTTGGAACTAACTCAATGGGCACTGTATCAGCAACAGCATCAATGACCCTTTCAAAATACACAGGAAGCATTTAGACCAATGCCTGGTATAGAGTTAGCACTTAATAACTATCAATAATAACAGCAGCAGCAATGGACTTTTCAGGCTGGTTCATTAAAAGTATGCTAATATTTGTATACAAGCGGTAGTCCACCTTTTATAATGCCTAAATATACCAGCCTCTGCTATTTTTTGCTATTCATCTACGCTTGGCTATTTTTTTTTTACCAGGCTGCAAAACAAGGACAATGTGTCTTTTCATCTATCAACGTGCAATGCGTTTTGAGATCTTCCAAAAAAAAAAAAACCCGAAATGATTATAAATAGTGACAGAAAGAAGAGTTAATTAACTTAGAATCTCCTACCCTTATGCTACTCTCTAGCACCCACTGAACATAATTGATTAAATTACTCACAGCATGTTGCCCTTTCCTGAGAAGGCTGTACTTACAAACAAACCAGTGAACCTTTACTTCAAAAGGGCTGGATAAGCAAGAAACGTGTTTAAGTCAACTCTGTATAGACTTGGGAGGGTGGTGGCTCTGTAGGTTAAGCACTGGATGGCTGAAGGTTGGAAGTTTGAGCTCACCAGCCTCTCTGAGGAAAAAAGATGAGGCTTTCTGTTTCTGCAAAGTTTTACAGTCTCAGAAACCCTACACCAGGTCGCTATCCTTCAGAGCCGACATGATGGCACTTAACAACAACATATAGACTTATAAGATTTGGTCAAAAATAATGTAACCTACCATAAGATATGATATATATGAGGGAAGTTTACAAAATTTGTGAAAAAATTCCACAGAAATGTTAAAGCCCCTGATGAAAGGAGATGCAGCTAGGTCTCTTGTGATACAATAGTGAATAATTATTATCAGGACTGGTTGTGAGGGTTGGAAATGTAAAGGTAGACATTTTGTAGCAAGGAGGGAAGTGATTGACTTTGCAGTCTAAGAAGCAGAGGTCCCTGGGACCATCAAGGCAGAAGAGTGGAGTGCGGGACCCTACCCAGAGAATCAGTGACACCAGAGATGGAGGCAGAGATGATGACGTGGAGAGATGGAGTGGCTGGGAACTCTAGACCCAGAGATGTAGAGGGTCTGTGTGCTGATGACCGGGGGGCAGGCTTGCAAGGTATACCCTTTGGTTGGTTGATGATGCATGGAGGGGATTGTAACCATGGCAATGAAACAATATACCATAAGATGAATGTAAAACTAATGCTCCCATGTAAGCTATCACATAATTCACAATAAAATATTAAAAATAAAAGTTAAAGCCCCTCTCATTGGCTATTCAAACCCATAGCCGCACCTTGAAAACCATTATGAGTTTCATAGCGACCCTATATAGGGTGTCTGAGAAGCAGCTGGTGGGTTTGTATTGCCAACCTTGTGGTTGTGCTGAAATATAGAGATATGTTGTTGTTGTTAAGTGCCATCTAGTCGATTCCGAACCATAGCGACCCTGTATAGGTTTTCCAAGGAGCAGCTGGTGAGCTTGAACCGCCAACCTTGCAGTTCAAATGGCTTTGCAGTCTGGTGCATTAACCCATAGCACCACACCAGGACTCTTAGAGATAAAACTATAGATATATATAGATATTAATATATGCTTCAAAAAGTTTGTGGAAAAAATATATTTAGTTTATCCAGATATATGTGTACGCATACATATATTACTGGCTTTCAAATATGCCCTTCCTGAAAGGTTTACTGAACCTATCACAAGGAAGTAAAAAAATCAATTATTTACAAACTTGCACTCAATGACTGAATTCTTTGTCTTCTGATTTTTTTGTACATTTCCAAGAATTATTCTGTGATAGTTTTCCAAAGTATAAGCTATAAACTCAGCCAACTATGAACTAGGGGGTATATTGTACAAAATTCTAGATAATTTCTGGTTTTCTGGAGTAAACCAAATTGCAACACTTTAGCACATAAGCTCTGCTTTAAAACATAATCAAATGAAGTGATGTCAGTCAGATCAGTAACGGAGGACATAGGAAGAAATGACAGGGTCTTTGATATACAGAAAATTCCCAAAGAAAGAAGTCTTATAAACCCAAGTGTCCCAAGACACAACTGGCCTGCTACAAACCTTCTGCTGAATGCTGGTCAGTCCTATAGCACTCAACTTCACAGCTGAGCATGAATAGAAGCGTCAGAATTCCATTTGAACAAACCTGGCAGCCCAAGCAAAGGGCATTCTGTATTGTCCGAGCCGGCTACACACTTGCTTAGCTGTCCTGTGTACCTTCTGGGCCGTCTAAATCAGAAATAAGAAAGGCTCATATTGATTCAAATTACTATGGACACACCCCACACACACACACACACACGCACACACAGAAAAATATTTCCCCAACTTACTGATCCAAAACATCAATATTCTACCAAAAAAAAAAAAAATCACAACTAACATACAACATGCAAAAGCTACCAATTTTCTAACAGTATAATATTTCTTAAATGTTTTGTGTTTTCTCATTAACAAGAGTCTTCATCATTGTATCAGAAAGACCTTTGATAGGCAAGTTCTAGACAGTTTTCACATGCGTTAGCGTTCACATCCCAAGCAAACCTTCGTCATTCTTGGGAGAAATTTGTTCTGGATACAGCTGGTCTTTTTACTCCCAAGATAAGGAACAAGTGACCAAGAGTCAATGCAATTGGTCTCATGTGGGCAGGAAGTGCTGTTTGCACGGACACTGAGAGATGACAAGGGGATCCTGCTTATAGATCTTCACAGGCTGCGAAATGCTGCCTGGCTGCTTCTCCCAAGGGACGCCGAATGCTGGAGGTTTTTCTCTCCATTGTGGAGATCTTTTACTCCCCCACAAACTCGTCACATGTCTTCTCTGCATCTTCTACTTAATAAACACTACTTGGATACATGGCTAGATGCCTTGTACGACAGATCAGCTCTTTATAAGAACTCAGTAGCTGAAGCACTGCTAATGAACTGCACCACACACATATTTCTCTGGGTCTCAAGTTTTCTTATTTATAAAATGAGGGAGTAGGGCTAGATCAACAGTTTCCAAACATTTGGAGTTCATGGTCCCGAAATCTGGATGATTAGTAAAGGGTTGCCAACTTTTCATTTTTCTACATATGGTCAGAAAACCAAACAATTAAAACATATACCCTACTCTTTAATATTCCAACAGTTCCTGGCAGAAAAGAGAGGTTTAACATTGAAAAACAGGAAGGACAAAAATCTCGGACTAAAGACAGCCTTGCCCTGGTGGTGCTGTAGGATAATCACCAGACTATTAACCGTAAAGTCTGCAGTTAAAACTCACCAGCTGCTCTGCGGGAGAAAAATAAGGCTTTCTGTTCTCATAAAGGTTTACAGTCTTAAAAACCTTAGCCAGGGTCACTGTGAGTTGGGATCAACTTGGTGCCAATGGGTCTTCTAATTGAATGCATTCAGTCTGACGAAATGCTCACTAGCTTGCCTTTATTATCTATCTGCATTTCACTACGGATAGAAGTATATCTGGATAAGAACTAGCATCTGGGAAACACAGGACTGGATTATCTGTACCCTCCCTGTTCTGACATTTCTAGCAGGGTACATGGGGGCTGGGAGCGAGGGAAGAGTGGCTATTGGCAAAGATGGGGTGTTAATCAACAGATGTTGCCTTAAAGCCTTTAGCTTATTTTGATAAGCACAAATCAGACTGTCACATAAACAGAACATAAATGAAAAGAACAAAGTAATGACATGTTCAAGCTGTAGCATGCGTAATTGTGTAGTATACCATCTTTCCAGAATGCAGTGCATGCTCAGAGAACACCTTTTTCTCTCTCTTAAGGGGTCACAGATAATATAATTTAAAATATCTATAAAAGACAAATGCAGTATTATCAGCTGAAATGCTCACAAAGAATCTCTTAATCCATACCTTCACTGGGTCAGAATTTTTGATATAGGGTTCTGCACAGTGTGTGATGTTGCCCTGTAGCACTTTTTCAATTCTTGCAACCAGAAAAATTTCAGGGTGTGGAATTGTCACTGAGAAAATGCCCTGCAAAAAATAAAAATTGCTTCCATTAGACTTTTTGAAAATTGTATTTAGCCACATACATACAGTTGTTTGGTTAATGATTCCTAGTGCAGTGTTTTGTATAATAGAAATTTAAAAAAACAAAACAAAACTTGTTGCCAGCAATTGATACTGACTCACTGAAACCCCACGTGTTAAGAGTATTACTACTCCACATGCTTGTCTAGATTGTTTAGTATACAACGATGACAGTCAACATAGGATCATGTCCTGTTGTTGTTAGTTGCTGTTGAGACAGCTCTGACTCGTGAGACTTAATATGTGGGGGCTTCAAAAAGTTCATGGGAAAATCCCATTACATTTCCATTCCATTTTTCCATGAAGTTTTTGAAGCCTCCTTGTATACAATGCAATGAACTGTTGCCCAGTCCTGCATCATCCTCACGGTTGTTGGCATGTTTGAAGCCCTACCTTATTCAGGCCATTTCCCTTGTTTCACTGACCATCTGCCTTCAATTTAGTTCAACTCACTGCCATCCAGTTGTTTCCGACCCCTAGTGACCCTGTATGGAGTCCTGGTGTAGCACTGTAGAATAAGCACTGGATTGCTAACCTGCAAGGTCAGCGGTTCAAAGCCACCAGCCACTCCTTAAAAACCCTATATAGGGTCGCTGTGAGTTGGAAATGACTTGGCAGCACTTAACAACAACAGTGACCCTACATGGGGTCTCTGAGGCTGTGAATCTTTATGGGAGTAGAAAGCGACCTTGTACCCTAGGACTCTGGATATTTGATAGCTTTTCTTTTTATACAGTGTTATAAGTTCACAGTGTTCTTTTCAAAACAGACTTTACGGTTTGTAACTGTTTCACATCTTTCAGCCCCACAGAATGGGTATTACCACTGCTGCCTCTACTGTTTGGATTGGTTTGCAAGGTGCATTCTTGGGCCTGATGATGCAATGTGGCTGAAATGACGTGTGCTAAACTAGTGTGCACCTCTCCAGTGGAACTAGACATGCATTTTAAAATGTATATGCATGTAACTCCAGAGTAATTCATTCACATTTCATTAATACTCATTGTAGCTATGAAGGAAGCACTTTACTGCTTTGCTCAACATAAAAATAAAATCATCCACAGAAAAGGTTCCTTTGGTGATGTTCAAGAGCTCAGCTGCTTTCAGTGGAAAGGCAGGGAACAGAAGATCCTATACTCTTTTTGTCCCCATACCCGTTACTTAAGGGTACCCATGAAGACAACCAACATCACACTGGTTTTCTTTGAATGTATGTGGAACCACCACATCATCCCCTCTCCAATTAGGCTTCTTCCAAATAGAATACCCTCTAAACAGCTTGTTAGTTGGTTATGTCTACTATTTCAAGGAGAATCACACAAATTGAGTGGAAAAATTCATCACTGGGGCTTGGTCATGTTTTCTTTTTCTACTTGGTCTATCACCAACTGCGTTAATCTAGTGCTTTCCAATTTTCAGATATGTTATCTCACCTGTTCCAGATAGAACATTTAAAAGTAGATAGGGCAAAACAGAACACTGAATGTAAGAGGCTAAGTATTTCCCCATAGTCAAACAGCCCGGATAATGGTTGGAGTCCAATTCTGCCTCTAGCATTTGTGCGTTTAGGTATGTCATGTTCTCCCTAAGTCTCAGGTATCTCATGTAGGAAATGGGCATGGTGATGATAACAATAGCAATTTCAAAGCCTTTTATGGATTTCAATAAGATAATGCATATTAGCTACCTGATTGCTAGGGTAGCCCAAAGTGCCCCAAAGTCACAGGACTTCTCCTCTGGAACTGCTGGGTCCATGCTGTTGGAGCTGTACGATGCGGCTGACAGAATGTAAGCCGAGCAGCACACATTGAAGGTGATCTTGTACTTACTAATTGTCATGTAACTAGCTGTCCTATTTTTCATGCATCCTCTTTTTCACTTAGTCTTCATAGAAACCCTCAAATGCAGGCACTACTATATACACCTTTTACAGTTTCGGAAACTGAGGCTCAGGTTTGGTAGCTTACTTAGCCTAGGCTTACACAGAAAGTAAGTGGTAGAGAAGGATAGAAGCCTAGGCGTCTAGGCTACAGAACCTATGATATGCTGTGAACCTATATACAGAACCTATGAGATGAGGACAGCACATGCGTCCCTCATCTCACACAACTGAGACCGGATTTGAATCACAGTCATGATTATTACCATAGCTACCGTGCACAGAGCAGTTATTGTTCCCTATTTCCCAGAACTCTAGGCATTTCCCTACAATGATGGCACCATTTGGAAGAGGTTGATGATAGACAGAAAGCATGTCATTTTCACTTGTTTGTCTCTGATCTAAGCTGTACAGAGTGAACATGATGTTCCTGGCACTGTGTCGAGTGCTTTCTGAAGAGAAGACACCTTATTTGAGCCTCCAAACAGCCTTTGAAGGCAGGTACCATCATTACCTCCATTTGAAAGAGGAAGAGGGGACTGAGCTCTGTCAGAGCACCTAGGAATGAACTGCCAGGCAACTGAGAATAAAGCCAAGTGGTCACAGTGGCTGTTTGGTATCAGGAAGGTCAAACTATTCTGCAATGGACCTAACTTTCTCTTTTCTGGTGATTGTTCTTGCTGTTCCTCAGAAAGCTACTGGAGAGCATGACTCCAAGGAATAGGTGACCTAGATCAGCATCAAAATTGAATCCACCATATTGCCTCTTCTCTAGATAAACACAGCTGCTTGAGTCATCGGAGTCTAGAAGGGACAGGGCTGCCAGACAGCCTTTTTTTGGGGAATGCTGGGAACTTGGCTATTTCCTTCTCTCTAGTGGAGTCCAGGTGTGGTGCTGTATAATAAGCATTGGACTGCTAACCACAAGGCTGGCGGTTCAAACGTACCAGCTGCTCCTTGGGAACCCTACAAGTTGGGACTGACTCAATGGCACTTAACAACCACCACGTAGGGTGACACAGGAAGCAGCACAATATAGAGATAAAAGTATGGGCTTTGGAGCCTGCTCGACCTAGGATCACATTGGACAAGTTGTTTGACTGCTCTACCCCTCAGTTTCCTCATCTGTACCTTACTGACTGGTTCTGAGGCTTACATGACTTCATATAAAGTACCTAGAGAGACACAATGGCAATAATAAGTGCAGACCCAATTGTTATCGCTGCAGTAAGGTATCAATAATACGACTGGTGTTTACATCTATGCATCCTTCTCTGGCACATGAAAAAGCTGGAAAAAAAGACTTCTTGAAAATAAAATGCTCAACTATTTGAAGAAAATGGCCACTTCTTGATATCTTCAAATAATTTGGGACAAAAGATGCAGAATAAAGCCACTTGAGGCCACTGCCCACTGCTCTTCCTTTTCTACCTCTCATCTTTTCCTTTGAGACCTCCTTCAAGTTCAACATTTGCTGTGTGGTCCTCTAAGTTAACTCCTGACCATGGACCCCATCATCGCATTCCACATCCAACGATATCACTGTGTACCTAGTCATGTTCTATATAGCGTTGTCGGTTGAATTCTTTCAAACAGACCTGGGTTCAAATTCCATCTTCACCATTACTAGCTATGTAATGATGGGCCACTTACTTAACCTGAGTGTCAGTTTCCTCATCTGTACAGCAGTGACAGTGATACCATTTCTACAGCCTATCATCCTTATCCTCAGACACACAGGAGATATTTAAAAAGTGTTGATTTTCTCAACTGATCTCGATTATAAATTGGATGAAACCTGAAACCACAATTTCCAATACTTGCTTCAAAAAATATACCCGAGTACATTAAACTAATACAGTAAATGCATCACTGGCTTAAAATGAGTTATTGACTTTTCAGGGTGGGGGGGGGGATGTTTAAACATATACTACAATAGCAGATTCTCCAATAAGGTTATGCTTGCTCAACCTCTCTTTTAGAAGCAGATGTCATTATATATGTGAACATTATACTCTGGGTAACAAAACAAGGGGCTACAGGAATTGAGGCACAACTTGTGGGCAGGGGGAAGCTACCACAGATCCATAGTCCCCAAAGGGTAGCGATAACACATGTAAACCTTTCTCTTCGATTAGACAATTTACATCAATGAATATAATGCCTGAGCCCAAAACTGCACTGTTTGGAATTGATTTTAAAGGATAGAATCCAACACATGAGATAAGATGTATGCACAAAGATGCTTAATGAAGGGTTATTTATGATATCCCCAAACACAAAAATCCTAATTAACTTAATGCAATACCATGGTAGTTGGAGTGATAATGTGGTTTTTCTATAGCTATTGATATGGGATGTCAACATCAATTGAACATGATAGTGTTAAATGAAGTTGTTATAAAGCAAAATGAATACGATGTTATTATCAGAGCATACATAACTGTTCATACATAGAGATATCTGGAAAGATGTTCACTAAAATATTAATAGTTATTGTCTATGGGTGATAAGCTTTGCTTTCTTTTTCATATTGTTGGTATTGCTTGAATTTTCTGCCTAAGTATGCGCTTGTCTTTATAATGGTGGGCGGGGAGGGGGATAACAGACTTGTGAAAACGTCTCCTTACAATGTGAGCTGCTTTGTTCCTAGACCTCTCCCACTTTAATTGTATGCCAGGCTCTAGTGTCCTTTCGGCCACAGCCGTCAGCTCTACTCCTTCTAACTTCTTTTGGCTTTCAATCTGGTCAAAATGCCAGGGAACTTTTTAGGGTCTCTTTTAAAAAAAAAAGGGGGGTCTTTGTACCAGCTAGGATGTAAGAAGGTAGCATTATAGCCAGTTCCCTGCCACTGCTTCTTAACCAGAACCTCCTTGACAATGTGTATAAAGAATCCTGAAAACAGTAAGCATCATAAGGGCTATGGGAAATAAGAATGTGAAAATTCTCACAGGGCTATTTTTTCCATCTAACTGTTAGGGATCCTAGTCCCTTGCTCTGAAGTATATACACGATGGGTGGGTGGGTGTGGGTGGATGGGTATGTGTTGGTGTATTTGTATGTGTGTTAAGTGTGTGCCGGAGCCCTGGTGTGGCACTGTGGGTTAATGTGCCAGACTGCAAAGCCGTTTGAACTGCAAGGTTGGCGGTTCAAACTTACTAGCATCTCCTTGGAAACCCTACACAGGGTCGAAACAGACTCGATGGCACTTAACAACAAGAACAAGTGTGTGCCAACAGGCTATCTTTACAAATATTTCCTTTGGGTTTCACTCAAATAATCCAATGGGGTAAATGTTACTTCAGCAATGTATAATTTCCAGCATGTTCATAGGTTTCCAGTGTTACCTCCAACTTTAGTCACCAGAAAACAAACAAACACAACAATGTATAGTTAGACCTTAAAAGAGCTGAAATGCCCATCAAAACATTGGCCTAAAACCATGCAAAAAACCCAAGGGTGTTTCTGCTTCTTATTCTGAATGTGCTGTAAAGACTGAAGATCATTCTTTACCTGTTTTATGCAGCGTAACTGAGATTCAGCAATTCCATGAATGCAAGTTTCGGGTAAAGAACCTTTTAGGTTTCCATCGCTGACCAGTTGGGCTGAAGTACCCCACAGCATTTCACGGACACACGGGGGATTTAAATCTACATGGAAGTCAGCTGAAATCTTACAATTGTTCCTTACATCAAACAAAGCAAGATTGACAAAAAAGGGTTCCACCTGAAAATGAAAACAGTTACATTTTTAAATTACTGCAATACTTTTGGGGTGCAAGGTGGTGATAGTAGGGTTCAGGAAGGAGGGGAACAAACTGCAAGTATTTCTTTCCAATCACTTCAGTTTCTGTGACTACAGTTCCTTTCCAAGTTCAATCCTTAGCAAAAAAAGCATTATGGTTCATTTGCATATAAGAGAGAACATTAAAAAATAACAGACTTTGTCAAATGTTAACTTTGGTCAGGAATAAATATTTAGACATGTTATAAATTCAAAACAAAATACTGAGAAGAAATCAGAAGCTATGTTTTAAAGAACATTAATTGCTCAATGAATAAAATTTAATTCTATGTGTATTAAATTTCCTTAAAAATATGTTATCAATATTAAAAAGCAAAAATGAATCTTCACTTTTGATACGTCACAAATCACAGGATTATACATTTCATACAAGCTAGCATCGATCAACATCAAATTGACAAAAGCTTTGCCCCATCAGCAGTTTTGGAAGACATGATTCCTTTCTACATACAGATGGCATCTGAAAGCTGGTCACAAAGAGATATTTCAAGCCAGATGGCATAAAGATTAACCCTTTGAACACAGAAAGTCTGCTAGTCCATTTCAGCCAGTTTGTAAGAAAATCTATCATCACTATTGTTATTTTTGAAAGGTAAAACTAGGACCAAAAAATAAAGGGGAATATAAAATAACATTTCTTTGAAGATTTTACATTTATAGCTCCAAGTATTTCTAAGTAACTTAAATCATCTGTGACAGATAATAACTTGAATTTCCTCTGCTGAACAAATGGGAATCCACTCGATGAGATCAGTGAATAAGCCTAGAAGACTGCAAAGCACCCGCATCCCAGTGATGGCTTTGGTGTTTCTTACCCATGGATATGAATCAATTTCACAGAAGAAATCATATCCTCTGGTAGAATTCACAAATGTGAAGATTTTCTACATCTTGGGGATATATCCCTCTTTAATGTCAAGGGTCTACCCTACTCTACTTCTGATTGGATAGGACTTTCATGACTCCTCTCAAGATGAAAACATTCATATTTTGGCAAAAGAAGGAGATGGTTGAAAGTCTTCTATGCCAAATTTATTGTGTGATGTAGAAATGGAATTTTCATCCAGTAAATTTGTTCTCAAATGCAATGGCTCAATGGAGGTAACAGAAAAAGATCATACTTACATTTGTGGGTGGTCCCTTAGCATTGTCTCCAACTTGACCCAAGATATTAAAAGTTAAATCATGGCAATTTACCAGGAAACGCTTGTTACACTTTTCTTCAAATGGCTTTATATCAGGTTCAATTCCTGAAAAGTCCAACCTCTATAAAACATTAACAACAACAACAAAAAGCATTAATAAGCAAAAATGGCAGCTCCTGTCATCCTTCATTTTGTTCTTCCTTCATTCAACAAGCCTTTGTGAAGGAAGCTCTTGCAATGAGGTTCCAACACTAATGGAGAACTATTGGAGATGGATGATGAGAGCATTGAAATGAGTCAATGGTAAAAGTCACAAGTCTGTACTATGTCCAGTTGTTGTTGTTAAGAGCTGTTGAGTCAGTTCCTATTCATAACGAGCCTGTACAGGGTTTCCCAGGAGCAGCTGGTGAATTTCAACTGCCAACAACCTTGTGGTTCAAACCAACCTTGCAGTCCAGTGCTAATCCTATAAAGCCACACCAGGACTCTGTACTATGTCCTACAGAGTCCTAAGTGACTCCGTATCACCCCCACTTCTCTGATGTCATCTTTGTCTTCTTTGTTTTGCCTTTTCTTCTCTGTTCCAGCCAGGAGTCCTGCTTTGCTGCTAACAGAAAGGCTGGTGGTTCTAACCCACCAAGCGTTCCACAGGAGAATCGACCTGATGTGTTCCTGTAAGGATTACAGCTTTGGAAACCTTATGGGGCAGGTCTACCCTATCCTATAGGGTCACTGTAAGTCTACTTTGACTCAGTAGCATCCAACAGCCACTGCTCCAGCCACACTAGCCTCCTTGTTATTTTTCCAGCACACCTCAGTGCCTTTGCAGTTGCACAAGCTATTCTGTCAAGGAACCCTCTTGTCCCAGACAGCTGCAGGCTTGCTCCCTCATTTCATTCAAGTCTCTGATCAGCTGTCACCTCCACAGAGAGACCTTCCCTAACTCCCTATAGAGAACTTACAACTGTACATTTCCTGACAGTCTTTGTCCCCTTTTCCTGATTTATTTTTCCAACATTACTTTTGTTTGTTCGTTGTAAAAATGATACACAGGTCCTATGATGGCAGGAAGGAGCTTATGAGTCAGGCTGCTGACCTCAAGGTCAGCAGTTCGAAACTACCAGCCGTTCCCTGCAGGAGAAAGAGGAGGCTTTCTGCTACAGTAACATTACAGCCTCGGAAGCCCTATGAAGGATCACTATGAGTCGGAACCAACTTCACAGCACAAAACCACCACCACCAGCATGACAACAGGAAATTTCTTCCTTTATGAGCTGTTGCTGTTGTTGTTAAGTGCTGTCGAATTGGTTCCGACTCACAGCAACCCTGTATAGGGTTTCGGAGGCTGTAAATCCCTATGGAATCAGAAAGCCTTCTCCCACAGAGCAGTTGGTGGGTTCAAACTCCTGACCTCATGTTTAACAGCCCAACACAACCCACTATGCCACCATGGCTCCCTTATGGGCTATGCAGGAGACAAAACTGACAGCAGAGGAAGTGGGAGGTGTCAGAAATAACACAGTGGGTCTCTAACTTGGGAAACTGGGTAGATCGTGGTGTTATAAACTTGGTCGTGAAATAAAAATGAATAACCAATTTGGGGGAAGGGTAAGTAGAGATGATTAGTTCACATTGGAACACGTTGGGTTTGGGGTACCATAGGCAGGTGGCAGAAAACATGGGACAGGTCTGGGTTGTAGATCTAGATCTGAGAGTCAGTGTAATCTATGGTGAGAAGTCACACAAGGCTGGAATCCTGGGGGCTGCCTACCTTGTAATGATGAATAAAGGGAGAGGCGTCTGCCTAGGAAACTGATAAACACTGAGCTCAGCTTCTAACAGAGCTGGGGGATGTACCCTGGCTGCCTTAAAAGATAAATTTTTTTAATAGTTGGGTATTTCAAAATAAAAAATTAAAAATGTCTTGGGAGTCAAGGAATTCCTCTTAGCAGGAGGAGGACTCTGTCCTTCTTCAAAGAAACTGCTAGAAACCTTATTTGTTCACAAGGTTCAGGCAACCTGAGTTCATCTGTTGATTTTGAATGTCTGAAGAGGCTCACAAGTGAGGAGAAAAATGTAGATTGTGAGACAACTTACTATACTTTCATTAAGGCCCAAGACATGGTAGGCAGGAAATGACTGGGTGAATTGCAGCAGACTATACTTGCCCAAATGGACAACTCTACCCAAGAAACACAAGAATTTCTCTCAATAACCTAAGTAATTCAAGTCAAAACAGGTAGTGTGTGCCGGAAGACTCTTGGATAATTATAGCTGTTCTGACGTACCCTGTATCACTGACAAAATCCTCCTTAAGCAGCCCTCAAGTATATTTGCATGACTGTTTCTCCCTCTCTGAGTCAATTGAGCTAGAAAAGAAAGACAATTATGTGGGACTAGACAGCTCTCTCTGGAACTCTCACTGCCAATGGAAATCGATTCTTATTTCTGCCCATTTATCTGCTCTCCTTTCTGTCTCACTCAGACAGTGGAATGTGAAGAGATAATGGGATCAAATCACCCCAGCCCCCAAATCTTCTCGCTTCTGAGGTCTGCGAGGGTAAATGTTCAAAGTTTGAGTCATCCTTTCCATCAACTGCAGATGATTTCTTAATCTCTAAGGTTAGTGGCAGAAAACATGTCCCTAAACATTGAACTGTGACCAAAAGAAAAGGCCAAAATTATGGGCTGGCACTTCACTTATAAAGAGCACTTAACACATGACAATATGGGTTTCTCTGTGGCAAGACTGCCTTTCATAATCAGCTTTACATTCTTTTTTTTTTTTTTTTTGGCCTTAAAGCTTCATCACATTTGTAAGTTTTCCTCTCACTATAGACTCATTGATAAACAACTCAAATACACAATCTGTTCAGTTCCATGACCACAAAACTACACCACCACAAAATTTTTTAAATGCTGCATTTAGTTTCAACCACAGTCAGTTGGCTCCTTTGTATACAATGAAAGAGCCTGGCATGTCCAATTAGAGCCCAATCCTGGGGGAGTGGGTGGGGGGAGAGGGAGGGAATCAAAGACACACACATGCTGGGAACAAGAATATTTCTGAATGAATGTCTTATAATTAACATTCCCCAGGCCTACTATACGTTTGTTTGTTTTTAAATCATGTAATGCACAGTAAAAATAAATAACACTGCTGCAGAAAAGAATGAAACTTAAAACTCAATTTCTCCAAATAAGTTGATTCTCTCATGATATTTTTACAAAAAAAGGAAGAAAGAAAGAACAACAAAAACTGTTTGTGTGACACATTAACTGAATACTTCTCCATTTGAAACAAAATTAAATTTACATCAAGAAACTGTATGGTGCTTAACGCTGGATGAACTTCCAAACGATGGCCCTGATATCATCTTTAAATCTTATTCCTTAAGCCAGAAATATCCCCTAAAGTCTTCATTAAACCAATCAGTGACTTTGTTTAACTGGTAAAGAATGTGGGCCTTAACTTAGACATTGGTTACCAAAAAAGGGAAGCTATAAACACATGAAGTGGCTGGCTTACAAGCTTTCAAGAATGTGCTTAGTTTCAGAATGAGGTAGGTAAGGTAGAATCCCCACTGAAAAGTTTTCCTTTTGTCCAGATGGGTCTAGTGAAAGAGGATGGGGGAGGATGGGGATAGAATTCTTTTGCTTCAATTGTGAGTAATTGTTACCATGACTAATTGCAATTGTCACAACTGTAAATGTAGAAGATGTGAAACAAAAAGAGGAGAGTAGTTAATCTTTTATTACCTGAACAGAGGACTCTGGAACCATATCAAGAGGGAAGAGCATGAGTGGAATGTGGAATCCTAATCAGAAAAGAGGCAACAGCAGAGACGGAATCATAGGCAATGGTATAGAGAGAGAGAACAGCTGAGGACTCTAGACCCATGGAATGAGAAAGGCTGTGTACCTGCAGGCAGGAGGCTGGCTTGTAAAATTTGCCCTTTGTACATTTAAACAAATAAATATTTTCTGTACATCAAAAAAGGGGGTGGGGGTGGGGAAAACAGAGATAAAAACTGCTTACCGATAGTGCACGGAGGGGATTGTAATCGTTGAATGAAACAAATTGTGATATACTGAGTGTGAAACTGATTTTCTGCCCTGTAAACTATTATTCAATTCACAATAAAAGCTTTTAAAAAACAAAACAGAATGTGGGCCTTGAACACTATGCTTTTTTAATGAACTATCTAGATAGGATCAAACTGGCTACAACAACTCTGGAAAGGTTAGCTGGGAAGCTCAGTGTATGTAAATGGAAGAAGAACTACTCAGAAAGAAGGTGAGAATGGCAGCTCAAATTCAAGGATACAATCAATCTCACTGAATTGTACGCGGGGAAACTATTGAATTGGTTACATTTTGCTATGTATATTTTCAACAACAACAAAATAACTTTTTAAAAAAGGAATTAAGGATGGTGGTAGGATTTTTTTTAATGATTTATTGTGAATTATGTGATAGTATACATGGGAGAACATTAGTTTTACATTCATTCTATGGTAGGATTTTTTTAATTGTGATTTGAGTGGAAGTTTACAGGGCAGATCATCAGTTTTACGTCCAACAAATCATACACTCCGCTTCATTATAATGATTATAATCCCCTCCATGTACCGTCAGCAAACAGTATTTCTCTCTATTCACTTTAGCTCTTTTTTTGTTTTGTTTTGTTTTTTTAAAAACACTCAAGCATATATAATAATTTACACCACCAAAGGGCACCTTCTGCAAGTCTGCCTCCTGGCCACCATCTCTTAGTCCCTTTGTTGTTGTTAAGTACCGTGGAGTCAGTTCCAACTCATATTGACCCTGTGTAGGGTTTCCGAGGCTGTAAATCTTTACGGGAGCAGAAAGCCTCATCTTTCCCCCACGGAATGGCTGGTAGTTTCAAACTACCGACCTTGAGGTTAGCAGCCCGATTTGTAGTCCTCAGCTGCTCCCTTTCTCCATGTCCTCATCTCTGTCTCCATCTCTGGTGTCACTGCTTCTCTGGATAAGGTCTCACATTCTGCTTGTGCTCTTCTCCCTTGATGGTCTTAGGGTCCTGTTTCTGGACTGTACGATTAACTACTCCCCCATTTTTGTTACAAAACTTCTACCTTTACAATTGTGACCTTCACAATTATTCATAACAATTACTCACTATTGAATCATAAGAATCTTATTCCCATCTTCTTTCGCCAGACCCATCTAGACAAGATGAAAACTATTCAATGGGGACTCTATATTCCCGCCCACACTCTTAAACTAAACTCCCTCTTAAAACCTTGTAAGCCAGTCACTTCGTGCCTTTATGGCCCCGTCATTTTAGGTAGCCAATGTCTAAGTTGCCCATCCCTATCTACCCTGTGTACAGAGGGGATAGCATTGATACTTGATGTGAAGACTCTTTCCCTCTGTGTTGGTATTTTTACTACCTCCATGAGTATAGGTCAAGTCCATCAAATTGTAGCAATGTACCCTTGTGTTTCCTTTATATAAACAAAAATTAATTGTCCTTTAGTTGAGTTCTGATTATCAAGGCATCGAGGCTAGGTCAAATAAATGGGTACTATCTGCAAGTTTGGGTGTTCTTGTGCATCTCCCCTCACTTCATATCCAGTGGATGCTTCACTCTCAGCTGTAGCCCCTCTGTGACTATGTCCTTGTCCATGGGCTCAGGTGTTCCTAGGTCTCACCACAAGGATGGTGATAGGATTTTACAATTAAATTTAGAATAATTGTTAGCAGGACTAATTGTGATTGTCACAACTGTAATTGTAGCAGATGTCTAACTAAAAGGGAGGTGTAGTTAACCTTTCATTTCAGGAAAAGACGATCCCAGGACCATGAAACAGGAAGAGCATGAGTGGAGTGTGAGATCCCTACCTCGAAAAGTGGCAACAGCAGAGACAGTGGCATGGAGAGATGAGCAGCTGCGGGCTCTAGGCTCATGGACTGAATAAGGCTGTGTGCCTGTGGACAGAAAGCTGACTAGTAGAATGTGCCCTTTGGGCATTTAAATGAAAATATTTTTTTGTTTTGTTTTGTATGTGTACACCATATTAGAACTTTTGGTTGTCATTTCTTTTTCCTATTTGATTTAATTTAGGAAGCTGATACACACACACACACACACACACACACACAACATACACACACACAAAAGAAAACATTTTAAAAGTCTGTCTTCCGGAAGTAATTTCACTTTCATGTAAAATATTTTCAGTTAGGAAAATGTTTGTAATACATATGGTATACTTTTTCCATCTTAAATACACTAAAGTAATTAGAAAATGTCATGGAATGAATATTAACTAGATACTTCTTAGTCAATAAAAAGTACCTAATTCTCATGAGACCTGGTGTGGTGCTGTAGGATAAGCACTGGACTGTTAACTGCAAGGTCTGCGGTTCAAACCTGCCAGCCACTCCTTGGAAACCCTATACAAGGTCACTGTGAGTCAGAATCAACTTAACTTCACTTAACAACAGCAATTCTTATGAAAGAGGTTAAAATACACCTAGGCCCATAAACCTGCACTTTCATGCACCTCCCTCCATTTAAAGACGGATTAAGATAGACATGAAAGTTATCCTACTTCTACAGACCCACATAAAAAGTGAAAGTAAATATGTCTTTGGCAGGTTGGTATTCTTTATATTGTCACTAGATCACAATTGTATTTAATGGTTTGAAAATAGTGCTGAAACCATTTTTAAGGGTTCTTTGTCTATTCTGAGGAACAAGATGAAGCGAAAAGAATACAGGGAACTGAGAGAAAAGCATATATTTGGTCTCAAACTATTTGCATGTGAGACCGTTTTTGATAGTGAAGTGTGAGTTGTTAAGCTTTATGCTCAAAGGAAATGAGATAAATAGTGCATATATCAGTGATTCAACATTTCAAAGATGTAGCTTATCTGGATAAACAATAATTCTAGGAGTAAAGAAAGACATCGTTAATACCTGAACTTCTGAATCAAAAGAAAAGAGATTCTGTCTTCCATCTCCTCTGCTGAGTTTGTTTAGCTGTTCAGTTTCTCTTCCATACTAAAGTTAAAAATAAAAAAAAAAGATTATGAAAAAGTAGACCAAATATTACTTCATTTCTTTCAAAAAAATATTAAATACTGTTTAAATATATAGTTTATATAAGCTAGCAATCTGACATAGACTGGCTCAAAAATATACCATTCTCCATTTCCAGGAATTTAAGATGCTGGCTTGGTGATGGAGTGATATGTTGCTGTCCCTCTGACCCATGATAAGTTATTGATTAGACCCTTACTGTTTCTTTGTCTTTCATCAGACCAGGGATATTGTTTAGTGTGCTGTACGTATCAAAAAGGAATCCAAGAGACTTCGGATAAGAAGGAGAAATAAACAAAAGAGGAAATACTATCTTTCTACATATCCATCTGATCACCTGGAATATTGCATATAACTGATTCCATCACCTCAGAAAAGACACAATGGGCTGTATAATCTGGAATGACAGAAAACTGAGAGGGGCTATGAATGAAATCTACAAAATCAGAAAAAGCCCAAATCAGGGACCATGCATGTGCTCCTAAAGTTTGGAAAATAGCTTTAAAACTTGTTGACGCTTGAGAGAGTGGTAAATTCCAAAACAAAAGAGGAATTGCTAAATGCATGTAATTTAATCCAGAAAGAGGACTCAAATAAAAATATAAATAGGCTCAACAAGGGTTTAATGGAATAAATGGTCCACACGCTATTATAAATAGAGTTCACCTAGGAAGAGGTATATCCTTAGTAAGATATGCTAGGAATTAACCTCTAAACTTTAAATATTGGCTCATTTCACATGCCAAAGAGGAGAGTAAATAATACATATGCTGTCTGCGCACCAAAATCTTTATGGGGTGAAATTCATATGTTCATACATATATGTATATCTCTAGCTAGAGAAAATATATGATTTGCCTATAATATTAACTTAAGTAAATCATTACACTATTATGTTCATGCACTACGCTACATCAATAGTCAACCGAAAGAAGGATGTTTATTTTATGAATGAGGTATATTAACCAAACTACTTAAGAAGTAGATAGAATTAATAAAGTGTCAAAAACTTAGAAGGACATTCTGGTGTCTAGAAAAGATTTTTCAGATCGTCAGGTGACACTTAACAATTCTGTCTTTAGCAGTGTAACTTTTACAACTTCTACCTCCTCTATTAATTAATTTCCTGTGGCTTTTAACTTAGCAATGATGTTGCCAAATGGGAGTTGAGCATTGCAACTTTGATAGCAAATCCTGCATTGCCTCATTTGATGGCAAATTGCCATAAGAAATACCTTCATCAGCTCCGGATGCATGCTCCTCTCCAAACTGGCCATGATGTTCTCGGCTTTTCCTTGGCTGCTAGTTTCATCATCTGTAAATTCATTAAAAACAGATGTTCCAAACCATACAGACCGCTACTAATCACCTAGGAGGAACTTCTCAACTCTCTCTCCCACCTCTATCCTCTCCTACTAGATTTATTGTAAAGAATCTTTACTGGCCTTGAGAAAATCTGTCATGGATTTCCTATACGTTTCAGTCTGGTTATATTTCACATGTGTCAAAGCCTACACCGCATCAACTCTTAAAAATACCAAAATAAGCTTAGAGACACTTGAAATGAAGAAAAAGGTCAACAGTCAAGATGAAGAGTTCTATATTCACCCTGCACAAAGGACATTTCTGTGGATTAAAGACAAGGGCATCACTTCAATAACGGATCATTTAAAAATTCTGACCTTGTGCTGTTTCGACCGTCTCTTTTTTCTCTTGCACTAAACTGTCGGTATTGATCTGAATAATCTTTTTCAAAGTTATCAACCATTCCTCCATTTCCTGCTCAGTTTCAGCAGCCAGATAATGGCTGTACTTATCAAACATCTTGAGTTCAAAGGCATGACGGCGCATTTTGGGGCACTAGACGGGAAAGAGAGAGAAAGAAAGAAAAAAAAGCAAGTGTTCAGTTAGTTATCCTCTTAATATTAGATTTCATTCGTTTATTTATTTTTACATCAACTCAGCACATATGTGTGTCAATACTTTCATTGAATAATTACTTCTTTCAATAAGCAATGTAAGCTCCAAGACACATCTTTTTGTTTGTTTGTTTCCCTTGGTACTATATGCACAAAACTGGCATTATACACTGCTTGTTGAAGGAGTTCTGGTAGTGTAGTGGTTATGAGTCAGGATGCTAACCTCAAGGTCAACAGTTCAAAACTACCAGCCACTCCATGGAAGAAAGATGAAGCTTTCTGCTCCTGTAAAGATTTGCAGCCTCAGAAACCCTATACAGGGTCACTATGAGTTGAAACCGACTCTATGGCACATAGACACCATCACCACCACTGCCACTGCTTGTTGAGTAAGTATTATCCTGTTAGACATTTTGGCATCCCTCGCATTCAGAAGAGCAAACTATCGCCATCAAACTCAACAATCGTGTTTTATTATTTGTACCCCACATAAAGTTTTGCTTGTATATTTATTGAAATTAAAAACCACCTCCCAAAACCAAATTCAATGTGACCTGGAACAAATCTGACACTTGCTTTCTATCACACCATAAAGTGTATCATAGTTACTTTATTCACATGAACACTAAATTCTAGATACCTCATTCACATGCATAATTGGAAATATATGCTAATAGCTTAGAAGACAAGTTGGTTCATGTGAAATAGGGGCTCACAGTAATAATGTGGAAATGGTGGTGGTGGTGGTGGTGTGCCATGGAGTCAGTTCCAACTCATAACAACCCTGCATAGGGTTTCTGAGGCTGCACATCTTTACAGGAGCAGAAAGCCTTATCTTTCTCCCATCGAACAGTAGGTAGTTTCAAACTGCTGACCTTGAAGTTAGCAGCCCGACTGGCAATCACTATGTTAGCAAACTATCACAAATACTAGCACAAGTGAAAAACTAAAGCTTCCTTCTTTCCTCAAACACAAGAACACATTCTTTTACATTATTGCCTCCTTTGTCATGACAAAAGACATGCTACTCTGTTCCCCTCCCAAGTCGTTCAGCATTAATTAAAAAAACAAACTGGGGGGACTCAAGAATCAAAAATTTTCTACTGCACGGTCATTATTCAAATTCTACCAAGAATGTCGCTCTTCTCATCTTCAAATTATAGCAAAGGATAAAATTAAATGGCTATAATGAGAGATAAAGCTTTAAGAATTTAGCAAAAATTTTGGGGGAAGATCATAAATAGATGGGAAAAGAAGATTTTGGGAAAACTACAAAGGAAGGCCAATCCCGGGTTGAAAGAAGGTAGAAAATCTGGAAATTGTGTTAAGAAAGCTGTTATAAATTTAATAAATACTGTGTATCCATGTAGATCTTTATACTTTTTAAAAGTGTTTTCTCATTTGATCCTCACAGCACGCCTGTTTCATAGGATACATTAAAAAAACAAAAACCTAACTTACGAGTCCATTCTGGCTCATAGCAACCTCATATGTTACTGAGTTTAGCTGTTCTGTGGGATTTTCTTGGCTATAATCTTTACAGAAGCAGATCGCCAGACCTTCTTCCATGGCACCGTTGTATGGGCTTGAACTACCAAACCTTTGGGCTAAGAGTCAAGTACAAATCGTTTGTGTCACCCAGGGCCCAGTAAGTGTACATATACATTATTAATCCTCAGTTTACAGTTCAGAAAATTGAAATTCAGGTAGGTTCAGGATGATGAGTCAGTATCTTCTGACTCCTAATCAGCCCATTGCTCTTCTAGTCCATGGTGTTTGCAGGGCTCTGTAGTAATGGCTCCTAATTCTTGGTCAATCCACTTCCTATTTGGATAGTCTCTCTGTCCTGTGTCTCGCTGTTCTTGGTTCATGCCCCCTGAGTAATTCGAATCAACAAACAACTGTTAAACTGAGGCTGTGTGCGCAGTACTGCTAAGTACTACAAAGGATACAGAAATGAGTTAAGTTGTGGTCCCTGTAATTCAAGACAGAATATGCATCATGAACCATAAATTAAGTGTGTGGGTCAGTGAACATGACAGGAAATAGGAAAGTGGTAGCATAAGGGAGGTGAAGCTTAATTCCACTTGGGAGTATAAGAGTATGGAAGGAAATAGAAAACACTTCATTTCACAAGTGGTATTTGAACAGAGTCCAAAAAAATAAGGTTCAATTAGGACCCTAAGGGAAAGTATATGCCAAGCAAAAACAAAAACAAAAACAAAAAAAGGTTATGAACGTCACATATGTGTGAAACACTGTGGCGTGCTTGGCCTGGAATGGCTGGAACAGAGAATGTAGAAGAGAATGCAAGTAGAGGTGAGGTTTGAAAGTAGGAGAAGGCCAGATCACTACAGGCCTTCACCGTCATGTTAAGATCTTTAGCTCTCACCCCACAAACAATAAATCAAGAGCCAAAAGCTTATGGGTAGGGTAGTGAAGGAATCAATCTATGTCTTAGGAAGACAGAGTAAAAGGACTGGAGCAGGACAACCAATCAGAAAACAAGGTTCCAGGTAAGAGAAGATAAAAGACAACCCCCAAAAAGGGCAGTGAAAATAGAAAGAAGGGCAGAAGACTCAAAATGCACTTTGGAGCCAGGCTCAAAGGGTTTGGCAAACTTGAGTGAGAGTGGGGCATCGAAGAGGATTCCAAAGTTAGTAATATGGATGTTTTGGTTGATGGTAATGCTATTAACCAAGACATAACAGTGTGATGAGGCTCTTAACAGTCTATCAATACTCTCCCTAAAGAAAAAGAAATCAATTAGCTCTATAACCTTACCTGAACAACATCAATGCAGGCGTCCAAGTAGATGCAACCTTTAGATTCTTTTGAATTTTTTTCATCTTTATAGGAATTAAGAATATATGAACCATCAGGAAGCTGAGTCAAGTAGAAATACCGCCTCTTGAATACCTATAGGGGAAAAGCCACCATTGATACCTCTGTCACATATATGTTACCGTTGAACAGTTTCTTGTATCTAAAAACTTTAAATAGCTTGCCAGGGTTTGTATCTGGATACTCTTCAAGCAACCCTGAGAAGCTGTTAGGAATTATAATGATCTTCATTTCTCTTTGAAGAAAAGAAAATTTGAAGCCAAGAGATATACCCTCAGTCAATCAAACATCTAAAACAGAACCATAATTAAGACTGCTTAATACTTTACAGTTTATAGAGCATTTTTATATCTGAATGACCTTTTTATCACTATAGCATCTTTTTTCCATTTAGTTGCATGCCACAGTTGTACTCTGCTAATTGCACTCACACAACCACAAATCCAAAGATATATAAATATGTATGTACACACACATATACAAGGGGGCTTCAAAACTTTTGGATATCTGGAATTAAACAATAATGGAATGTTTCCAAGCCCTACCTGAAGCCCCCTCACAGATACACACTTACCTACACTGTGCCATCATCTCCCCCTCTGAAGGTCCAGCTTAGAATCCACTCACAGGGAAAATTCTGAATGCCATTAGTTGCTTACCAGTTGTTGCTGAATGGCCTGAATTATTGAGATTTGAATGGGTAGGTCCAACGAGACTATGCCATTCATTGAGAGTTAGGGATTCACAAGAGTTAAGGAGCAGCCTATGGAGACACCTCACAGCAAATCCCCCAAGAATGGAGAAAAGAACAAAACTAAGTGATCTGATCTGTTCTACTCTTGCCTCAGATCAGGAACTCTCGAACTGGTGTGGCTTTCAGTAAGTCACATCAAGCAAGCTGTGTTCAAGTACTTGTTGTAGTGCTTATTCCAGACGCAATTCTCCAAGATGATGAGTCTAATAGCATTTTTGGGTCCGAAGACTACGAAATAAGACTCTTGGGGATGATTAAGGAGATGCATTCCTATGTACCCTGTCTTCCCCACAGAACTTTGCTATAGGGTGGAAGCACACCAATTTCAATCACCCATCTGATTATCATTCAGTATGATCCTTGGCTATTTTAAGCACTGTAAGTATGCAAAGTGTATTGCTTGGCAAGATCATTCTTGCAAACTGCTTAACTTCTGGCACAGTATGTGAAACATCAGCAATGTCTTTCGCCATAGCATGAGTAAGCAGGATACAGAAACATGTCAAGGGATGCTTCTTTTTAGGAAAGCCAGTAAAAAGAAATAACAATGCTTGCAGTCGTAGTGTCATTGATTGTTTAAATGAACAACAGAAAATAAACCAGGGTGAGGAACACCCTAACAGGTTAGACTGGTGAATGCTACAGCTTCTATTTCAAGGAGTGGCCATGTGGGCTATATGATATGATCAGAAAGGAGTCCAAGCAGAAAATATTGGTCTGCTTTTTATGAATAGCAGTCAAGTCAAGATTTCTGCCTTATGATACAAAAGTACAGAAAGCATACAGAGAACTCCTCATATCCCGTTTATCCACATTTATGTTTATTAGCGTTATAAATGAAAAAAGTCTAGGTTAATATACAAGGAGAATGTTAATCATAATGGTAACAATGCACGTATTTTTACTTATTTCCACAATGGTTCACATCTCTTACTAAAATGATGGGAACAGAAGACTTAAAATTATGTCATTAGCCCATTTTATCTGATCCAACACTTACTGAGCACTTACATTAGGTAAAACATTGCTTTTAGAAAGGTTATTACAGTAAGTATGTATGAGAGAAATTAGAATACATTTACAAGACAAAAATTAACATGAAAAATTAAACGAGATTAGAATAATTTACATTCTAATGTGGTTTAATTTTTCACGTTAATTTAAATTACCTAATCTAAAAAAGTCTCTAGCTTCAGTGGTACAGTCTGCAGAATCCATTTTCAGGGTTCAGAGCCAAGTAATGGAAAGGGGTAGAGGAAAGGAAAATACAGAGCAAATCTTTGTCTAACATGGGGCCAAATTACAGTCTGCTGAATTTTTCTTTCTTTCCTTTTTTTCATGTACAGCTGCCTAACCAAGCAAAGATGTTTTGTGGCACCCACCACTTCCAATATTAGCAAAGTACACCATCACAACAGAGATGGAAAAGGATCTGAAATTACAGTAAATCACTTCCTCTAATATTGCAATTATGTGTAAAAACGACACTGAGGTAGGTTGCTTATGAATCTGGGGAAAGCACATGGTGAAATAGGCGCAGACGCCTGAAAGCTCTAAGATTCATTCTCATCTGGCTCTCCTGCCAACCAGCAGTGAAACTGTCCTCATGACTGCTCCTTCCTGGGCCTATCTCAGTTGCCGCACTTGTAAAACTATGGCATCAGACCAGACTGTTAATGCTTTTTTTTTCATAATCCACATAAAATTTGACCAAAATTGAACAAATATAGCAGCCTTCCCAGGTGAGCAGTTACCCACCCCAAGCTATTTCCTAACATACTAGAAGCACAGTTTGCACAATGAAGAATCTTTAAATAAAAGTGCTGGTGGGAGCTGTAGGATAAGCACTGGACTGCTAACCGAAAGGTCAGTGATTATACAGGGCTCCTCCAGGTCAGAACTGATTTGACAGCACTTAACAATAACGACATATAGAAATCAGATTCTGACCCAACAACAGATCTGTAAGTTCTCTAAGAGCTGTTTCTTATTCTAATATTCTATGATACGTGTTGTTGGGTTTTAACGTCTAGAAATCTTTATGGGGTCTTTCAAATGAAAAAAAGAAAAAAAGGATACCTTAAATCTAGCACACGGAACAAAAAGAGAAATCAGAAATATAACTTCCCCGACATTTCAAAAATGTCCAATATGTGACTATTTAGGGTACAATTCCACATTCGCTTGCATTTCAAAGAGAAGACAGATGATGAGAAAATGACTATATGGAACAGTAGTATTTATGTCACACCTTTCATTTGAAGGCCCCAAGTCCTTTGTAACTGAGAGCTAATTATTTTAATGGCCCTTGGGGGTAAGGATCCCTATCCCCAGTTTATGTAGAAGCAAATTGAGTGACTATGAGCTCACTTAAGTTCACCCAGGCAAGTCTGGCAGAACTAGAATCAGAGTCACACTAGAGTGACAAAGTGAATCTTGCCTAATCCTCTAATAGTTTCTCATGGAGTTTAGAATAAATTCCAGAATCCTCATCACAGCCTGGAATGCTCTACAGGATCCTGGCATCAGACTACCCCAGCTACACAGACTTATTTAAAATAAAAATAAATAAATAAATAACCCCCATTGTCATTGGATTGATTCTGACTTACAGTGGTCCTATAGGGCAGATTTGAACTGCTTCATATGGTTTCCAAGGCTGGAAATCTTTATGGGAGCAGGCTGACACATCTTTCTCCCACAGAGCAGCAGGTGGATTCAAACTACCAACCTTTCAGTTACCAGCTGAACATTTAATCACTGCACCACCATGGCTTCTCTGACATACCAACTGCTCCTTAAATATCCCACACAAGCTCCTTCAAGGTCTTTTCCTGTACCTTGACCTACAATCCTCTTCCCCAAATATCCAGAGTTCACTTCCTTACTTCTATCAGGTTTTTGCTTGAATGCCACCTACTCCGAGAGGCTTTCTATGATCACCTGCCCTCATCATAGCAACCTGTTTTTCTCTTTTCATATTCTGATTCATTTATCTGTTTACCTATTTACCGTCAGTTTGTGTAGACTGCGAAAGTCCATATCTCACCTACTGCTGTATCTAGATCACCTAGAATAATGCCTGGACTCAAATATTACAAAAGGAATCATGAACAAATGAATAATATACCCAGATTCTCCATTAGTTTCACCCAATAGAATGGAGTCTCTTGGTAAAGTCCATATTCCTGCTCTTTCTTTCCTTTATTATTTTTCCCAACTTCCTATGGAACACAGTTGAAAATTCTCCCCCATACTCAAAGTGAGGAGTATGGATCATGGCAAGTAGCCTACTTGGTGCACCCAGAAGAGGAAAATATGGAGTAAGTGAAAGGCAAAGACTCTCTGGGGTTGAGGATCACTAGGTCTTTCAAAGTTAACCAGGTCTATGTTTGCCCCTCTTGAGCAGGAACAAAGACCTTGCATCATTTAATTGAATCAAACATGGAAGAAAAGCAGGAAAGTTGAGTGCCTGGTATCCTCAAAGCAGGAAATCCTTTTATCATTTTATATAACAAATCTCAAGAGTATTTATCTACATGTGTCATCTATCAACACATCGGTTTCCATTGAGCTGACTTTGACTCGTGGGACTCCAATGTGTGTCAGGGTCGAACTGTGTTCCATAGGATTTTCAATGGCTGCTTTTTCAGAAATAAATTCTTCCTCCGTACCCTCTAGATGGACTTGAAGCACCAACCTTTCAGTTAGCAGCTGAGCACATTAGCTATACATACCAGCTGTTGTTAAGTGCTACTGAGTCAGTTCCAACTCATTGCGACCTTGTATAAGGGTTCTAAGGAGTGACTGGAGGGTTTGAACCACTGACCTTGCAGTTAGCAGTCCAATGCTTATTCTACAGTGCCACACTAAGACCTAGATGGACATTATTTACTAAATAACATGAACCAGATACCCTGAGAAAGGATGCTCCAATGTTTGATCAAGTAGGTGAGCCAAGAACAATATGGAACTGGGATGGAGGGAGATTTAATTTACTACTATCTCCAAAGTAAGAGAATGGAAAGGTCAGCAAGGAAAAAGAGAGAGCAGAATAGCAGGAGACATACTAGGTCTCAGAGTGACTCTAAGCAAAGAACAAAAAAATAATGGGGAAGGAAACCACAAGACCTTATCAGAAAACTAGGTCATAATTATTTACACCAGAATGTCAGAAGCTTCATTCTATTTAAGAATCCCTACCACTAGATTAGTAATCTAATGTATCACTCACCTCTCTCCACCTTATCATTTTATTGTCTTACCAAATGTTAATATACTACATAGGCCTACCTGCTGGGAAACTTGTAAAAAATCCAAT